TATACAGGGTGATTAACCCCCTGCACATTCCAAAAAGACCATAAAATACGTAAAAGATATTAATGTTATTATTTCAAAAATTGCAGCCATTTTCCAAAATGGCAGCAAACTTGAAAAACTTGGAAAACTGTGCATTTTACGGTCTTTTAGGAATGTAGATGCAATTTTAAGACTTATTTACTCTTTGCATTCTTGCTCTAAACTTTACTCGACTTTACTCTAAACTTGCTCTACTTTACTTTTCTAGGTGCTATACAAAATGTACACCGCAAGTCATTTTTTCATAGGCTGTAACTCCTAAACGAGTTGGTTTATAGAAAAAATGTCAAGAATAACAAAGTTTTTAAATTGCATAATATTCTATTCGAAAACCTGATAAAATATAATTTCAAAGTTGGCCGCCATATTGGAAAATGGCGGCTGAATTTCAAAATTAAAAAACGAAATTCATATTTTTATCTGCCACAAAAAATAAAAGAATGTCCCATTTAAAGTTTTCCCTAATTCTTACCGTTTCTGATATTTCAATGGTGGCCTCCTTGAGTTGATCACCCTAAATCCCGAAGTACCTTGAACAGAAACTTGAACTTTTGAGAAAACTACAAGTCACAACTCCATAAACCATGTACAGTATATGATCGGGATAAAATTGAATGAGTTCGCGAACCAGCTGCTTAGTATTATTTTTCACAGCAGTTTTTCATTATTTGTATTGTAGTACTCAGTGCCGGATTTAAGGTCCTTGCGGCCCTAGGCCAAATTACTTGAGCGGCCCTCCCCCTGTGGTGGAAGTTCCTTGCGATCGCGGAAGTAGAGGACATCATCATCGACACCTGTGATCGTGGATTAAGTATATGGTTTATGGGGGTGTGACTTGTAGTTTTCTCAAAAGTTCAAGGGTACTTTTGGCTTTATATATAGATTTAGTGAGTTCTGTGAACAGAACTTAATCATCATCGTTGGTCTAGCGCATAGTTTGTGATTATTATCACATGATCAAATCACAAGTTCTCAAATACATTTAACTATAATCTTTAATATAATTCACTGTTCTTAAATTCATTTCAACAAATGGAAGAAATTCCAATCACATGTTTTACTCACAGTGTGGGTTAAATAGAGAAGTCTTTACATTACATATTTTTGGTCAAGTTTTCGACCACTGGACTACCTCTAAGTATACTAAAAATGCACACTAATTAACACAAATATCACTTTAAGGTTATGTCAAGAAATATTTAAAGGAATCAGCAAAAACAATAATAAATATTTGCTAGGCAACAGTGGGAATTAAACCAGTCTATTGCAATGCATATGGATATACTGCTTGTATATTTAATAATATAAATCAATGTTTTAAGAAAAATGAGCAAACATCTGATTTTCGGTCCTAGGGCCGTAAAAACCTTATTACAATGATAGCTGGCATTCTGGACAGCAATCCGTAGCTTTCACCCTCCAATTAACGTCTATAAAACAGCTGAGACATCGTAGTAAGGTTAAAAATATTTGCCAATCCTACTCAATTGACCCGGAACACTGCAGTTTCTAATTATTTAATTAAGGGTATAATAAAAAGTGCTCGTGCAGTAATCAATTAAACAGGGTAACGAATTGAAGGACAGATACAACTAGACTAATAGGACGCCAAATACGCGTAGGTACAACTAGTCGTAGGTACAAATAGTCTTAGGTACAACTAGACGTGAGTACAACTAGACGTAGGTACAACTAGTCGTAGGGACAACTGGTCGCATCCGTACAAGCTAGGTGACACTACTGGTCGGTGGCATACACGTCTAGTTGTACCTACGTCTAGATGTAGCTCTTAAAAATCTGCAGGTACAACTAGTCAGGTTTGCCAACGTCTACTTGTACCTACGAGTAGTTGTCCCTAGGTCTCAAGGTACAAGTAGACGTAGGTACAACTAGACGGCGGTACAACGAGACGCAGTCCCGTTTTCACGATGCGTTTGTGCGTGAAAGAAAATGCCTGTGTGGCCGCAGCCAAAAGGGTTGCATCATAACCTGTTTTTGACCACAACACAACGTATCATGGGAGTCACAATCTTAACAATAAGGAATAATACATAGTTTTTATTTCGCAAATTTCCCTATAGGGAAGTAGCAATTACGGTAGGTGGCACTGTAAGACCTAGACCCCAGGACCGATATACCATACTTTTTCATTTTGACGTAATTAGAGGCCAAAAACACTATTCGTTCAACTTTTTTTATTATGTATAGGCCTATATATAGATTTATTGATTATTTTCGGTATTCCACTCCCGTTTTGCTAACACTATATTTCTCATCTAATTAACTATTAGCCCAAAAAAGAGCTGTAACTCCTAAAAATTGGGGGAAAGCTGGAAATTGTTTTAATCTGCTATGGAGATCCTAAATAAGTTAAAAATGAGTTTGAGACGGATTCTGAAGTGAGCTAAGTGTATGGGAGGCAAAAAACTAAGCTGATTTTGCTAATTTTTTAGTTTTTTGCTTATAACTAAAATACCCCCGCCGCAGCAAATCTGCCGTCTAAGCGAATTTCCATTTGCCTGAAATGATTTTCAATTAATCTATTTAAATAGCATTAGGTTTAACGAGTACCTAGGTTTGCTGCTACAAGGAAACTAATAAAGTGTGTTTTTAAGTAAATAACTATAGCTTAGTATAAAATCAATAAATTTACCAAGTTTGATCAAAATATATCCATATACAAGCAAACTACAACATTTTACAATATTCTCCATAAGAATAACATGGTAATTTTAAATTTACAATTTTTTGAGTTTTCTCTGTAACCAATAACTGCACAAAAACACTTTAATGTACTGAATTGTTTGTTTTTTTAAGCTCTTTGAGAAGGTCTAGAGAGAAATTGGGAAATTTTATGTTTTGAGGGTCAAAAATTAGAAAAACCAATTTTTACCCCATAAAACCCTGTTCCCATGGTCTGATCATGCTGGTTCGCGAACTCATTCAAGTTTATCTTGCCTTACACCTTCAAACCAAATTTCATAAAAATCGGACAAAAATTACTCAAGCTATCGTGTTCACGGACACACACACACACATATATATATATATAAATCTATATATATATACATATATAAAAATTTGAACGAATGGTGTTTTTGGCCTCTGGGGACATCAAAATGAAAAAGTAAATCGGTCCCGGGCTTAAGTCTTACCATGAGACCTACGGTAATAGCTACTTCCCTATAGGGAAATTCGCTAAAAAAGTGCATCCCACAAAAAAAGTGTTTACATATTTTTCTAAAGAACATTAAATTCCGCGTTGACCAGTTGTTGACATTAAACTTTGACGACCAGTTGTAGCAAAAGGACTGAACCTATTTTAATGATTTTAACGTCATTCGACGTGGAATTTAATGTTCTTTAGAAAAGTACCTATACACTTTTTTTGTGGGATGCACTGTTTTTTAGTTATAAGCGAAAAACAAAAAATGAGCAATCACGAATACCTATGATGGCTTTGACTTGGTTTAGGAGAGATGTCCACGATTTAAAATGTTCGTCATGATGAGATACCTTGCGCAAAACTATCCATTATTTCATAAATTGTCCTTTAAGGTCGTAATTCCTTTCTAAAGGGAACTTTCCATACATCTAATGTTAAAAATATACCTCAGTTCTACTTATTTTTTTGTATAACTGTATTCTGTTTTGTTTATTTCAGCTTAACTTAACCAATCAATAATTTTATAAATACTTATGAAATCAAACGGGGTGAAGCCCGTGGGTAACAGCTAGTTGCTATAATTTCTAATGCTTAGTCCGATCCTTTTTAACATGTTCATATGAAACTAAAAGATGTTTAATGTTGTATTGGACAGATTTCTTCTAAGTCTTATTACAAACGTCATTTATCATCAATAGGCTGGCTATTCATGGCTATTATAATTGACTATCGGATTCTAGTCAAAGCTATTATTATTAGGCTAACCAATAATCTGCCGAGAGAATAAGTCGTCTTTACAAATAACGTACAATTGTTTAGAGATTCTTCCTGCAAACTTTTGTAAATTTAAGGGAGTTGTGCTCCATTCTTTAATGACTGCTCGATGAGGAAGGTAATGAACAGAATTAACAGTATGGTCCAAATAAGTTACTTCTTTTTCAACCCTTTCAATTATTCCCTTGTCAACCCATTCTTTAAAAATAGCATCATAGGCTGCATATAAATTCATATTTTTCAGCTTACTTATAGTTGTCAGTAGACGTTTCTCATCTAACCTATTGGACTCCAGTGAGGTTCGTACTAAAAAAGTCATATGTGGGTTATTTTTCCGTCGGTTTTTCAACACTGAGATTTCATTACGTTTGCGTAGGAGAAGGTAATTAATATGTTTTTTTGAGAAAAGTTAATAGTTAAGTATGAAATAAACAAATTTGTCAAACTATATGCATGAACAAGCAAACAACGCCAGTTTACGTAATCTCCTTAAAAATAACATAGGCCTAGACATTTTAATTGTAATTTTTTGTAATTTTATCCGTTACCCTATAAAAACACTTCAATTTACTCAATTAGTTGTTTTTTTAAGCTCTAAAAGTAAGCCCTTAAACTGGAGACAAGTTGAAGGGGAGATACAGCTAGCCGTAGGTACAACTAGTCGTAAGTACAACTATTCGTAGGTACAACTAGGTGTAGGTACAACTAGGCGCCCGCTACTGCGGGAGAACACACCGTGTGTGGAATTGCCCATTACATTTAATGCTGCTCATATTTTTCACGTGTTTTCACACTGCGTTTGTGCGTGAAAAAACGCCTGTGTCGCCGCAGCCTTTAGGTATTAATCCTAATCAATAATCCAGAGGCCACTCTGCAAAAATGTATTCCACGAGTGCAGTTTTTGACTTCTTACATATAAGCTGAATGTAGCAATCAGAAGTCCAGCAAATATTTTAATTTCTAAAAACTTAGTATCTTAAGTTTTCACATAATTTGCTCAATAATTTGGAATTGGTTTCAGTGCACAGTTTGATGATGTTGTTCAGCTGGAAACATGCATTCGCCTGGTTCAAGAAAACAACGAGCCCTGTGCTATTAGAATTTCTCTTCATGAATCTTCATCGGAGTTTATTAAACAATTGACCATTGTTTCTGAGGTAAACTTTTTAAATTGTACCAAATTAGAACCAAGAAATTTTACATGTTGGTACTTTAAGTTTTAGTCGTCAATGTATACACGATTCACCTTGTGATATCACGGACGATTTATAAATGAAATGACAAAATACAGGATTTAATTCAACACCAAAATGAGCTTGTGTTCTTTACAAATCCAAACAACAAACTAAAACTTGTTTACATTTATAAAAAAATTAAACACCATGACTGGTATATTCAATTCTATATCTATAAAAGAGGAACTATATATGTACGTTATGGACTCTGAAACCGCTCGACAGATTGTAATGAAACTTTCAGGCATTATTAAGCATCTTTTAAGGATGGTTTGTGTGAAGTTTGGTGCAGATCTGTCTAAAAGGCTCCGCCCCAGAGGGTCTTAAGTGAGCCAATGTCAGACTTTTTGAACTTCAATGTTTACAAATAAATATTATTTAAAAGCAGATGTTTACTTTCACCAACTGTTTTGTTGGTTTGAATAATCACAACATTCTGTATTAGCACAGCCACCTCTAATACAAGGTCACGGCGAGCGAGAAGTGGCAACAACGCATCTGTGTCTTGGCGCGCGGTCATCTTACCATTACAGTGAATGGAGGAGTCGCGTACCGACGTACTTATTCGCGTTTATATTACCCTTAATCATTAGTAATGACATTGAAATTGCTTCTGCATCATGCCAGATAGATGTGTTATGCCTGGGTGCAAGAGTATGTTACGAAAGCTCGATTAAAACTGAAGGATACACGCAGTGTTTTAAGATTCCAAGTGATGCGGTGCGTAAGCAACAGTGGATTCGTGCTGTTCCTCAGTCAGATTGGACACCTTCAAACAATTCTAGTGTCTGCGTGAAACATTATCACGAAGATGACCTTAGTTTTGTGGAAAAATACAAGAATAAAGAGGACGATTGGTGCGAATATAGACGCGAGAATCCAGTTGTAGGTGACAATGCCGTACCTAGACTTTTTCCCAATTTACCATCGTGTCTAGATACACGAAAAACGACAAGGAGAAAGACTCCTGAAGAAAGAAGACAAGAGGAAGGCAACAGGATGAAGAAATTCGACTAGCAAAAGTAAGCGAAGTCGGGGACTTTATCTCCAATCCCTGACTACCGTCGGTTCAAATTTAGAAAATGCATGCTTTTCACATGGACGCTGTATGTTGCGTTCTCACGTGGTGGTAGGTACGCTTAAAATGTGTTAAGATGTGTAATACTATAGTATACCTTAAATTTACAGAGGCAAATGTTAACAAACTGTGTCCTTCCCCATTGCAAATAGAAAGCTTATGAGCATAACTGCAATAAACATTTTATACTTATATGCCAACCCCGTTCGAAGGACGGGTATTCTGCTAGTATATATGTATGTGTGTGTGTGTGTGTGTGTGTGTGTGTGTGTGTGTCTGTCTGTTAGCGCCGTAACTCGAGCTAAAATGATCCGATTTTGATTTTGATAAAATTTGGTACAAACGTTAAACCTACATTTATTCGAATAAGTTCGTGAACCAGCATAATCAGACTATGGGAACGGGGTTTTATGGGGTAAAAATTGGTTTTCCTTATTTTTGAACCTCAAAACACAAAATTTACCAATTTTTCTCTAGACCTTTTTAAAGAGCTAAAAAAACAACAATTAATTTAGTATAAAGTGTTTTTGTACGGTTATTGGTATGTTTTGCTTGGAGCGACAACTTCTTTCTGATGTCACCGAGACGTGGTACCATCAGTGCACCTAACCTCAAAAATGTGCACTAAGTGAAAATTCACTAAATAAATTCAATAAATTCACTAAGTAAAAATTTACGTCTTTAAAATCTAAAATCTAGGTTTGCTGCGGTGGGGGTATTTTATTTTTCATCAGCCTGAGAGAGCCCATGTAAAAATAAAAATATACATCAATATCCCCTATTAGCGTTTTTATGGTTTGTACCAGGGAAACTAAACTCATTATTATTGTAACAAGAAAGTAAAAACTATTTTACTTCACAACAGTCAAACAAGTTCAGTGAATGCGGTGACTCCTATGTCTCGGCCTCTACTTCTGCCTGACAACACAGAGCTCCTTAGCATTGGTGTTCATGGAAGTGGAAAAGAAATCGGTGTGAGTGAGGGGGGTGAAAAGCAGAGTAACGGGGTTGTGAGTGAGGGGGGTGAAAAGCAGAGTAACGGGGTTGTGAGTGAGGGGGGGGATAAGCAAAATAATCAAATTGTAAATTTTATAGAAAGCCAGTGTACAAGTAGTCTTAAGGAGCAGAGAACACCTGCTTTGGCTTTAAACTTAGGTTTGGGGGGAGCTTCTCGGGGAACTTAAGGCGTAGAGATGTTCTTTTAGGTGGGAACAATAAGCATAATTCGGTCATGGTAAAAAATAAAAAAATTACAATTTTTCACCAAAACATTCAGAATTTGGTATCAAGAGTAGAGGGGTTAGAGATAGTTCTAGATGAGATTAAACCTGACATTTTAGTCTTATCAGAGCATAACATGAAATCTGATGAGCTGAGCAGATTTAATTTAAACGGTTTTATGATAAATTCAGATTACACTCGGGAAAAATTTAAAAGTGGAGGTGTTTTGATATTATCTAAGCTTGGTTTAAAGTGGAAGCAGGTGAACTATGCTAATATTGAAGTGTTAAGGGAAGAAAAAGTGTTTGAGTTCTGTTGTTCAAAATATTTTTTTGTAGGGGATGAAATTCTTTTGGTTGGTATATATAGATCACCTGCAAGTAGTGTTAATGAATTTTTAAGTCGATTAGGTATTCTATGTGACTATGTGTTATCAAAAAACAAAAAGGTGGTAATAGTAGGAGATTTTAATATAAATGTTTTAGTAAACAGCAAACAAAGCAAGGATTTTGATAATTTGTTAAAATCTCACGGTTTGAAATTTTTAGTAAATTTTCCAACAAGGGTCAAACTTACTAGTGTCTGCGTGTGCCTAAAAAAAAAGAAACAACAATAAAAAGTGGGTAGTGAGTGAGTTGCTCTCTTGTACATTTGGTGAATTCCTCTTTTGTGTCTGGCTTATTTCCGCATCAACTAATATCTTGATCATATATTTGTTAGATACAGCTAACTCAGTAACGGCTATTGATAACATTCTAACAAACATTCCAACCCATGAATTAAAGACCACAGGAGTCATAACTGAGCTTTCAGATCACGATGGACAAATCTTAGAAATAAATATTTTAGATAAATGTATAAAAAACAATTACATTTTTAAAAAATCCCGACAATTCTCAGAAGAAAATAAGCTCCAATTTTATCAAATGCTGGAAAAGGAAAACTGGAATGATGTTTATTTAGCACCGGTAACAGAAAAGTACAATATTTTTCACAAAACGTTAATTTACTATTTCAATTTATGTTTTGAAAATAAACTTGTCAAAATTTACAACACAAAGAAATCCTGGATAAATCCAGAAATTAAACAAGAAAAACAGGAAATTATAAAAATGAGTAGAATAGCTAGAAAAGTACAAAATAAATGTACTTTCTCTAAACTAAATAAAAGAAAAAAAATATTAAATAAAAAAATTACTGAGAGTAAAAAGAAGTTTTTTGATTTCCAAATTCATAATTCAAGTAACATTAACAAAACCACATGGAGAATAATTAATAATGAAGTTTCAAACAAAAAAAACACTTACTCAGAGAATATTAGTCTTCGACTGAATGATGAACTAATTGAAAATCCTACTTATGTTGCAAACATGTTTAATAATTACTTTATAGATGTTGTAGATAGCTTTAGTGTTAGGCAACCTTTAGATAAAAATAGAGGAACAACTAATCAAGTTAGCGATGTAAATAAAACAAAAGGGCTTTTTGAAAGTAGGATATTTAAGTGCACTCCTGTAGATGATAAGGAAATGGAAAGAATTGTTGGTTCACTTAAGAATAAAATGTCTAGTGGTTATGATGATATACCAACTAAATTATTAAAATATGTAGGGAACCTTTTAGTAAAGCCACTTGTACATTTGGTGAATTCCTCTTTTGTGTCTGGCTTATTTCCGCATCAACTAAAAATTGCAAAGGTAATTCCTTTACATAAAAAAAACGAAGTTACTGAAATATCTAACTATAGACCTGTTTCATTGCTCCCTGCTGTATCAAAGGTATACGAGAAAGCAATGTACATTAGATTGGTAGATTATCTTGAATCAAATAAGTTATTTGATAATTCTCAACATGGTTTCAGAAATGGAAGATCAGTAATAACAGCAGCTACTGACTTCATTGAGTCCATCGTAGAATCAATTGAAAACGGTGAAAATGTTCTAGGGATATACATGGATCTCTCTAAAGCATTTGATAGTGTTTGTCATTCAATTTTGCTAGAGAAACTGGAAAGTCTTGGAATAATGGGAGTCCCCTTAAAATGGTTTCAATCTTATATGGATGGTCGGATGCAATTTGTTGAAATAAAATCAAACAAAAACAATTATTTAACTACATTTAACTCTCATAAACGTAGAATTAAGTGGGGGGTGCCACAGGGTTCAATTTTGGGACCAATTTTGTTTTTATGTTATATAAAAGAATTGCCTAAAAGTATTGTTAATCCTCAAAAGAGTAAGATTTGTTTATATGCAGATGATTCAAATTTAACAGTGGCGGGGAAAAGTAAAGAGGAGTTGGAAATTTCGGCCTTTGTAGAATTGTATAATATACAACAATTTCTAAAAAATAATAATTTGAATCTTAATACAACAAAAACAAACTTTATGTCCTTTTTGACTAAACAAAGTAAACAGAAACTTGAACCCAATTTGATCATTGATTCAGAATCAATAGAACAACTTTCTGAAGCCAAACTTTTAGGTCTCTATGTAGATGAACATCTAAGTTGGAATAAACACGTTGAAAAATTATTAAAAAAGCTTAATTCTGGAGTGTACGCATTGAAAAGAATGTCTTATTTGTGCAATTTAGATGCACTTAAAAAAATATATTTTGCCCA